ATCAGTTCTAGAAATACTGGTGTGAATCATGTTGTTTACTATGATTGCTGTTGCAGGCAAAGAAGTTGTGTGCCTAAGTTGCACACACATTTAACTACCTAGAGGATATGGCCATTTGTGTACACTGCTGTGCTTGACGGGCAGCACAGGTTGTGCTGGCTGGAAAGGAATGTTTTATTTTAAGTAAGAAGGCACACCCAGTTTCAACTCTGTGTCACCTTCAGACGGTGTGTGGCTCATCTTAAGAGTTCAAACCACTACTTCATAACTCATATTTATGTTAATTTCAAATGCTTACTGTGATTACTCATTGTTTGGCAAACAGTCAAGATTTTTGTGTCCTTCACAGTTGGATTTCTGATACTAAAATATAGTTCTGTCTTGAAGAAAGAACTTCCTGGCATCTAAATTAAATACAACTTCTTCACTGGTGACCTGTACTTTTGACAGCTATCTGCCCTCTGTGGTAGGCAATTTCTTAAGGCCTAGAGCCTAAAGTTGGGTGAAAAACAAAGATACTGCCTATACCCCTTAAACTGGGGAGATTTGAAGGCTTCTTCAGATGAGAGGTAAACACTGGGGCCTTGTACAGAGGCAAGATACTGTCTGTCCATACCTAACCTGGACTACCTGGCTACAGGATTGCTCAGCTACCAACTCTGTCCCTATGTAAGATGTAGAATAAAATCTTCCCCCTCAATCCCACGTGAGTCCTGAAACAGACAGTCAGCCTCTTCCTAGCTCTGCTTGAGCTCCTGCTGTTGAGCTGGCAGTGCCTGGCCTGACATAGACAGCATCACACTGGGATCTCACAGGCACTCAATCCAACTGTTGGCCAAATAAGCGTGTGTGGAATGATGTTTATAAACTTAATAATAAACCCCAGTGGGATATCCTGCCACCCAAGCTCAGCGTGTAGTTCTAACACCAGTGTCTGTTTCAAGATGTTGCCTTACTAGATACATAAATAACATATGGCAAGGATCTGTACCTCCTGTGCAGGACTTGCCTCTGATAATGATATACTAAAAACATAATCAGCTTCCCAGTTCTGCAGTTCAGCATTGCTTTTCCGTGAAGCAGGAAGAAATGAAATAACTAGCTAACTGAACCTTAGGTTTGAAAAAGCTTTTATTTGGCTCAGGACCTAAGGATAATAATAATTAAGCACTTTAAACACTTCCTTATGAAGTGCAACTATGCTCTAAGGGGTGGAAAAAAGACTCTAAAAGTAATAGCTGAGTTGACTGTTTGAATTGTCGTCCTAGAAAAGTTACTCAATTTACTTTTCACACAACCCTCAAATGTATGCAATGAAATCTTAAATCATACTCCATTCTTGGTAATTTTTGCAGCTTCCTTAGTAATAACTATTCCTTTTCAACTATTTAATTAAAAATTTTACTGATAGTGTATAAGCCAGGGTACAAACAGGTTCACTTTCCAAATTGTCTTGGCTTGGCAAAGAAATAAACAGTAATTAAATGAAGCATCTAGCAATCTGTTGACAAGAATGAAACAGTAGGTGTGGAAACTGCTGGGAAGTTTGGCTGCCAGATATTGTAATGAACTGAACATTAACACAATTCTTGGGATTGTCCACATGTAAACAAATGCTGTTTGGGAAAGAGATCTTCTACATGGAGGGAAACAATATTAAGCACTTTGTTGGACGTGTCTGCTAAATCACTTCTTAGTACACAGAATTTGTGCTCTACACAAGGGGGCATCTTCTCCAGATTGTGTATTTCCCATGCTTTTTTGCAAATACTGGTTATTTTCACTGTCCTCTATGCAGGACTTCTACCCATCAGTTTTCTGGCAGCCTGATTACAGTAAAGAATTTAGGCCTGTAAATGAACACAGATTAGCTGAGTATCCCTCTCCTTGTGCAGGAGATGTAAAAAAACATTTTTCAAAACATAAACTATGAGTTCCTTACAGGCCTTGAGAAGTAAAAGGGAGGTTTGTGCTTGCAGCAGGTGAGCCTGTCCTGCAAAGAAACTCCTCTATCCACAAGAAGCCTTTCATCCCGAAGACGAAAGTGCAGCACTTGCAGGCACGCTGGATGGGATAAGAATACCTCAGTCTGTCAGCGCCTTGTCCTCTTAGGCCCCAGGGCTGTTCTTTGCATTAAAGCTTCATGCAGAGATTAGTGACTTGTCCCAGAATGCCAGGAAACATCTCTGCCACTTTTTCTTTTTGCAGAGTTTAAGATCACTGCACTTTTGCAATGGCCTTAACTTATTGTTCAGTGGGAACTTGTTTGATTTCTGGGCTGGAGCTTGATCAAAGGTCCACTGAAATAAATACGCCACTTCTACTGAGCTTCATGGGCTTGGGAATTGGGCAGTTCATCTTCCTGCAAAGTTCCCAAAAGTAGAGCTGTAAAGAAGTATTTAAATGACGTCATGGAACTTGTTTGGCACACAGGAAGGGCAGGGAGTTCTGGAAAGAAGCTGCAGCTTTATGGAGAAAATGAAGACCAGGGCAATGCAAAGATAGTTTTAGGAAGGGTGCTTGGACTAAGAGGCTGAGAAAGAAACTGGAAGAAAGCATCACAGGGAGATAGAGGTGGCAGGCCCAAGATGAGAATCAAGTATTAAAGCTGAATGCAAACATCAAGAGGAGATAATTGTTGATGTTGAAATGAAAATGGCATGGTTGGAATGAAAGGAGAGAAGACTTTGAATACCAGTAGTAGAGGAAGACTATATAGCACAAAGTTAATTAAAAACAAAGTAGGAAAAACAACGGCAGGCTGGAAAAAGAAGCAGGCTCAGAGCAGAAAGCAATCTGTGGATGTAAGACCATATTGTACCTTCAAGTATGCCTTGCTTGTGTTTCTGTATAAATGTGTGTAAAGGAGCATGAAGTATTTGGTAGTTAAAGGACTACATTTAATCTGAGATGAATGAATGAGTTTGCTACATGTGCATGTCCTCTCCAGTAAGAATTTCATCTTCTATGCAGTATGCCTGCTGCCAGTGCTTTCTCGACAAAAAGAGAAAGCTGTGCACCCAAGTTTTGGGCTTCTGCTGCAACTAGTCTTTCAATCCAGAAACCCTTCTGCAGTGAGAGTAATTTAACATGGCATGCTTTTTCAAGTTGTCTGCACACATCTTAAGCACCATTTGCCACAAACCTCCTGTGAGTTTTACCTGTTTATTACAAACTTTTAAACTAGAGATTTAAATTAACTGTATTAGGCTATGTGCTTTCTAGTTGAACTAGTGTAATCTGGATTGATCTGATCATTTCTCTGTTGTCAAGTCAACTTGCTTTCACTTGCCAACCCAAATAAGAACTGATCTTCGAGTAGATGATGGTAACTTCATGTTCTATTTAAATTCTTGCTTTTGTTCTGCTGGTATGTCATTTCCTGACCACTCATAATTAGAGCTTGTTGAGAGACTTCTAAATGCTATTATACCAAAGCCAAGTTTTTTTGAGTCAAAACTAAGAGAGAGAGGTCCAAAATAGTGGATAATTTAGTGGCTGGAGTGCTCGAGGAAAGACTTGTATTGAACAGATCTGAGCCTCCTACTTGTGTAATGCATGATCCAGTAGGACCCTGACAAGCTTTGTAATGATACCTAACCAGGCCACTCAAAAAGGACACACTTTATTTAAGAGTAAGCATTAAAACAAAGGGGTCTTACTAGCTTCAGAATCAGTAGTTAAGGCTGCAGGGAAGTGCTGGTTGGCTATAAATGCATATTCAAAGACATTTGATACTCTAAAGTGGGGAGGAAGGGAGATGTAAAAAGTAAAAAAGTGGAAATGAAACTTCTAACCTGTTTAAGAAAGATGTGAAGATCTTGTTTCAATGATGAACATGCGGTCCTATTCAGTTTTAACAGTTTTAGCTTATCAGTGCTCATCAGAATACAATGGCTCAGTCCTGCTCAAACACAGGTTCCAGCTTGAGTCTTTCGCTTGTGTAAGGTATGCACATACACAGGAGCATTCCTGTGAATTCTGGGTGTTATGTTTTAGTTTAAGGGCTTAATCTGATGAGTGTCTGAAGGTGTAATCATAATCTTGCCCTGTCAAGCTCCATTATTCCATATCCCATTTTATCTTATTCCATCTCATAGTACTCCATTTCCCATCTTACTTGATACTGAGCAAGTATCAAGTAATATATATAAAATATTTGTTTAGACAAACAAATGTTGATGTTTAAACAAATATATAATTTTTGTTTGGACAACAGGTAACAAGAAAAACTAATGGGAGATGAATCACTGCGTCTGGCACTCTGAGAATGTACAGATAACTTAAAAAGCTTACTGATATTTTACATTTTTGGTGCTGTTGGGTTATGGCAGGGAAGGCTTCAAGATCCAAGAGCATTTCTGGGTGTGAAGAAGAGCTGTGCAGATAAGCAGAGATGTAAAGAGAAGAACATAGGGAAGGAGGGCTACTGAAGGTCTGAGCACCAGAAGGAACAAGAGCAGAGATGCTTAGAAAAATTCTTTAAAACTGTGAGCAGCGGTGCCACCAAAGCCTGGTTTTGATAGAGTTGTATTTCAAGTCTGTATATGTCCCAGTCTGGAACTCTGATATTTTGCGAAGTTAAAGCAAACCCTTTGACAGGAGTTACTGCCTGGCCAGACACTGTTTCTATGAAACACATAGAAACTTAATGCTGCTCTGTCAAACTTGGTTATCATTGGAAAACAGCTTCAAAAGATATTTAGGGGAGAACAGGCTGGCTTACATGTACATGAGCTTTAAAACAAATATTTTTCTACCTGGATTTTCATGTCAAATACTTTGGTCATGGTGTATCTTTTGCTTTTAATGACCAAGTTTGAGAAAAGAAACACTGTCAGTCATTCATCATTGATGTCAACCTTGTTAATTTGTGTCTAGTTAACATGTATCCATACAGAACCCATGCCACTTATGTGCCTTCAAATTTAGCCTTTCTCCCTTTTCAGTCTCTTCCATCAGCAACAACAACAAAAAAGTGTTTCCTTAATTCTAGGGATGTAACCCTCTTGCTGAGACTGGGCGAAGCAAACTGCAAAATCAAAGAGCTGTCCTAAACCAACAGATCTTAAGAGCAGTAAGAATGAGAGCTGGCGCTGAAAACCTTTTAAGGTATGTGTCATGACTTCCTAGTTCTCTTGCCTAAGCAACATTATTTAAGTCTCAGCTATTGTTTTTTCCAATCTGCCTAACTGCTGCATAAGTTACTACTGGATGCTTTGTGAATCTCCCCAAAGTTTTTCTAATGCTGTAGCTCTGCAGAGGCATTACCTGCTATGACGTGCACTTCCAAAGCTGCTGTGTTGTAGCAAGTGAGCTGAAGTTAGACTGTCTAGTGTTGCTCTATTTGATCTGCTTTATTGCTAGTGATAATGGCAAGTGAACCTTCCTGAGTATTGTAATGGCTCCCTTTTGCACTTTAAATCAATAAAAGTATTGCCACTAGCTGTTGCTTTTCCCAAGGTCCTTCAGATTTGTGCTCCATGGTGGAAGGATTATCTGTTTCCTTATTTATTCCATGTAGTAGTGATACAGGAGTAGCAGGGTAGCACACCTCTAATTTGAGCTGGGTTACAGTTGCAATCATATTTTCCTACAGTTTGAAGTAACTGGAAGAGGCTTTGTCCTTCACCTATTATTTCGTCCACTGATTTTGAAGGTCTAGTTTCTTACATGTCTGCCCCCACAGGAATTATCAGCCTTATGTTGATCCTGTTTTATATCCTGTGATTAACTGCTTAGCAAACAGACTTGTAGCTTTCCAACAATCCATCCCCCTGTTACTCAGAAAACCTGAAAATTTCCCCAATACTCACACGCAATAGTCTCCTGTGGAGTCTACTTCTCAGCAGCTGGAGCAACAATGAATCTCCAAAAACAAAATCCTTGTCAATATACTTCCCTTAGAGAAGTAAAGATACTTGCATAAATTCACTGTTCTTAAACTTGCCATTAATCGATAGCTTGCCCTTTGCCTCTCACCTGCCTTTGTCTCCACTCTCGGCAAGTGAAGCAATGGATCCGAAGCTTATGTAGTTTCAGCCTCTGTGACTGATTTAATTTTGCTCTGTTTTCTGGTAATTGACATAAGGAGTAAGACTTTGGGTCTTCTGCTACCCAGAAGAATTTTTTTATCTGCTTTTGAAACTGAACACCCTTCATTCAGTAATGTTTCTGTATGTCAGCTCAGGAGCATTTTGGAAGGGCTAAAGAGATAAGTAATATCTAATGTGAACACTGGTTACTCTAACGTTCAGCCTAAAGACGGCTTAAAATATGGCTGCTGAAATATTAAAGTTGCTATTGGCAAGAGTGGGAACTGAACCTGTTTGGAGGGTAGAGGATCAGACTTGTATATAAGCTATTAATTAATCTAAATTAACTTATGCTATTAAAACTCACTAGTTCTTTGAAAGAAGCAATTTTAAAAGTAACCTGACCACTAGATGGTTCACATGACTAGATGTATTTACAGGGTCTTAAGGAAAAACCTAAATAAACAAGCTTCATGTTTTCAGATTCTATTTGCATTTCAAGTTCTAAAAGAAGCAAACTAATTGCTGTCCACAAGGAGCCTCCTGCAATAGACTTGAGGAAAAACTGGAAATGCAGGTTTCTTTACTTTTGGCCGAAAGTAAACGCTAGGCTTGAAACAAATGATCCATCTAAGCACAAATACTTTTGTTGTTAGAACTTCTGAAAATCACCCTTTCCTTTTCATTGTCTTCTGTCTCAAATTTCTGAGTTAAAACTGAATTCAGAGTATACTTATGTGGATCTTCAGGATATCACATTGCCTTTGTTGCTGTCTTTTGCTGTTTGTCCTTACAAAGTGTATCTGCAGTGCAAATACATGGAAAAGTAATCAGATTAATTGTAAACTGGCATGGATGTTGAGAGCCATATAGCCATATTAGAGAAGTTCACCTGGATGGAACATAGGGATTTCTCAAAAAGATACTAGAATCCCTCCTGTGGAAGATGGTAAGCTAGACCAAACATAAAGCCTTAGCACCATAATAAAATTGCTAAGGTTGCCTAGCTACCTGTATGATGCTGTCTTTAGATTAACTCCATTGTGTATTTGTCTCCAGTTTGGCTTATGCAGGCAGCAGATGTTAACATTGCTCAATTAAAGCAATATCAGGTATTCAGTAAAGTAGAGCAGGGGAAACTGACATATTACATATGTTTATAATATGAAGTATGAGTTTACAGTTTTGGCCTTGGAATAATTAGATCTTCACCAAGGTGTTCCATAAAACCAGAGGATTGTTCCAGTGGAGACTGGATGTATGAGAGGGTTGTTCATAAATGTTTATGAATTTTATCTTAAACGTAAATGCAAAATGCTGCAAGCTTATTTTAAGTTTGTATTGTCTAATACTTTGTACTGCCTAATATAGGGGTACAGTATCTTAAGCTTGGGTATGGATCAAGAACTTTTGTCTTAAAATCATATAGATAACAGTTTAAGTCTCTTGAAAACTGTAACACTTTATGGAGAATCATGTTAGAAATAAAGAAATAACATCCTGAAATCCACAAGTAAGAAATCACACAGAAGTGCTCTGGGTGGCTAAATACCAATATCCAATGTGCTAGCAGTTCAAAATGCTGTCATGCAAATGTATAAATGGCAAAGGAAACAAACAAAAATCTTATTTGAATCTGACAAAGTAAAACTACAGAAAAAATTGTATTAAAAAGAAATATCTTTCTACCTGTATGTTTGATTGTAAAACATTCCATAGTAACAGTTTTGCGAGAAAGCTGTTTTCTTTTATTCGTAAGATCAGAAGTCTCAACAGATCATAATTCAATTTAAGAAGTGGGGAAGTCCCTTTTGGAAAAACATCTCCTGACTCCCCACTACCTCCACCCTCTTCTTCTATGAAAAGATCACATAATCTGAAAATAGGATAGTGAGTCTGTTTAAGATGCTTTAGTATTAATGTATCTGAAAGTAAGCCTGACTCCCTAATCACACAAAAAAAAAACCCCTTTGCACATGGCAAACCTTTTCTGTATCTGTGTGCTGTATCTGGAAAATATCCCAGGCTTTCTCTTGACAGAAAAACCTAGTATATTCTGAAATTCTTGGTCTTGTATCATCTCTTAAGGAGATAAAAAGAAATAATCTTAAAAATGCTGAGAATGCCAGGAAGGGGGTCAACTGAGCTTAGGTACAAAACCTTTTCCTCAGCAAAACCGAAAAAAAAAGATGTTTCTTTCTTTCTGCAGAGCAACCACCAACAACAAAGTACGAGAGCAGGTACTACTGGAACTGAGTTTTGTAAACTCAGACCTGCAGATCTTAAAGGAGGAATTGGAAGGACTTAATATCTCAGTAGAAGTTTATCAAAACTCAGAGTAAGTATACAGCTAAGTTACTCAATTATTAACAGATCTTCTGTTTACCCTTGGAAACAAAACTGTTTCTAGGTGAATGTGAATGCTGGACAATAATTACGTGAAAGACCAGAGGGCTTGATATGAAGAGAACATATTTGATGGTAGATTTGTTGACTAAGGGTTAGTCTGCGTATTTGTCTTTCACTTGGGAAAGGCATGTACCACTAATCCTTAGGTACAGAGTTCCTTTGTGAAGGAGAGAATTGCAAGAACTGAAAGCTCTTGGGGCTGTATGGGGAGACACGCGGTCCCTAGCAGAATTTCCAGTACTAGAATTGGTTCAGTACATTCTGTAGCGAACAAACCCAGTGATCTAACGTTTGTTCTCAAATGCAGTGGATGCAGGAGTCCTCTCTTTAGCTGGAGAACACTGATTTGGAGTTCAAAGCAGATGAGATAATCTTTAAGATGTGCCATTCAGTAATAGAAATCCATAAATTAGCTGACTAAACCAGAGAAATTTTCAGTAGGTGAAGTTGGACTTTTTCCAAGATCTTTTTCCAAGTTTAAAGAGCACACTGAACTTCAGTATTACAATAGATTCCTCAAAGACAAGACTTCAAAGGTAAAGATTATTTATTGCCTGGATAGTGCAGTGCTTTCTATACCTGCTAGATGACTTTTTGCTCCTAAAACTAAATGTTTACTATTTGATAAACACTGGCAGCTCAAAACACAAATTGAAGTGCTTTATATGATTGACATATACATATCTAGATATATCTAGATACATACATATATATGGTATAAGTGTGGGTCCCTCTTAGCACTATTCTCAGGTCTGACTTCCAGGTGGACTACAAGGAATTCTTAATGTAGAGTGACCAAGCACATTTCCAGTGGTGTGTCTTTCAACTGGATGCTGACCTGATGTAAAATATCGTTTAATTTTTCTCAAAATGTGCTGAAGTTCCTGCCCTCCCTCCCCCCCATGGCAAACTTTGAAAAATATTTGGTATGAAAATGGTTTTTCATTCAAGATTTTGCCAGGCTTCATAGACATATGTGAGCATAGACAGCAGGATGAAAGCTATGGCTGCGTGCGAGCAAGGCTCCAGAAAGTATATTCTTTCTTCTAGCTAAGGAATATTTGAAATACTTGGATTCTCAATGAAGGGTGAGCAGCAGGTCAGGCCCCAAGGCAGGTAGAAGCCTTGCAGCTAGACAGTTGTATGCTTTTTCTCTCCTGATCCTACTGCCCCCATCAGTTTTGAATGATGTGTTTTACCTTTCTGATGCTGTTCATTCCAAGCTCTAAATGCTTTTTATGTTCCATCAGCTAAAATAATTCACTCCCTTCATAACTGCTCTCCAGCCTTTAATAGAAAATAGTTATTAATAGTTGCTCTTTGAGTGTATTGTGCATATAGTCATGAACATTAGGTCACGCCTATGTTACTGGATTACGCTGTGTTGTGTTACACCAATCTGAAGGGTTGGCCTTCCCAGTACTTGCGCACATCTCAGCTGGATTGAGAAGTATGACGCTATTTCTACTCATTTCTGCAAACCCAGGATCACCTCCCTAACTGCAGTGGCCCCATTATGTTGACTTTAAGGGTGTGTCACATTAGAAACTTAAAAAATAGGAATTCAGTTCCTTTGAATGACAAATGCTGGTGTCCACAGGGACTGTGGGTGGTACTAGACGTCATTAAATCAGTAAGTTAGGATTTCTTTTGCATGTGTCTCACTTCCTTTCACGGGGGGAAAAGTCTTGATATAATCTGTTGTAAAAGTGGTGGTGTTTCTTCTAAAAGCCTTATCAGAAATCAGATCGTTTGTACTACCTGCAGTGGTATTTTGGCTCTGAATTCTGGAAATCCTTTACATGCTAGCAGAGCCACTTTCTGGATCATGCCAACCAGTTTAAGGACTCTTCCTCTGCTGAGGAAGCTACATTCCTATTCCCACCTTTCTGAGATGGAATTTTCACCAGTAAGAAAGTAGTTTTGCTGATAAGACCATAAATGAACCACACCCATAGGATTTTGTAGTTGGTAATGGAATGCTCTAAACAATAATGAGAGTCAATTATGTTTTCATGAAAAATGCTGAATAAACCTTGTAATCGCCTGGTACTGACTCATTAAACCTACTCAAACAACTATGTATCTGGAAGCAATTCTGATTTTTTTTATTTTTTTTTTTTTGAGATATAATTGGCTAATATGCTTGATGGAAGAGCAATATATGCAGCTTTTGAGCCTACTATGAATTAAAGAGCACTATTTATCCCTCATTAGCTAGTGTTGTTTACTAATATGATCTGGGTTTAAGTCCGTGATACAGATGTATGTTCTCTTGAGGATCCAGTTTTTTGAAGTCATAGTTCTCATCCTTTATTGCCTTTTGATATTTTAGAGGTTGACTTGTTTATAGGTTAACACCTGGCGTTGTCTAGAAACTAAGTAGTTCTCAGATTTCCTGCTCTTAAGACCTTTTACTGTTAAAGTTGGTACACTTTGGACCTGCTTTTCCCTGTGTTTGACACCCATCGCTTCTACATATGAAAGCATGGGTAGCATGTAAAATACTGATGATAACTAATGATAATTACCATAGCTCTTACCGTGGTAGATCTAGCATTCTAGCAGCTGCGGAGCTGTTTTCTGTCCATAGAACTTGCACAGGTTTATAAAGGTTGAATTGCAGTAAGCCAACCTTTGGGAGTCTCCTTTTCTTTCCTTGAAGGAAAAATAGGTTTAAATGGGCGGGGGAGGGAGGGAAGCTGTCTTCACCCTTTCCTTGAAGAAATTGTTATAAACTATATACCTTTTACCTGAACAACCATCAGCATAGAAATTTCCTGTCATCAAATAAAACAAAAGTAATTATCTTATCAGCAGATAAACAAAATATTTGTGAATCTTTTTATTTTTTTCGTAGAGAGACTTTCAGCATTCCCTTGGTACCTCTTGGCTTGAAGGAAACCAAAGAAGTAGACTTTACACTCCCCCTCAAGGTAAATTTCAGAGACACATTTCAGAATGAAGAATTAACAGAAATAACTTCCATTTCTGATTTGTTTAAAGAAGCAGAAGTAATTAATGTACAAATTAACCACCAATGACCAATTTGGGTTGTTGCTCATACCTAAGACAAGGAGTCAGAAGATATTATAAGAAATCCCACTCTGGAGACAGTAAAACCAAAGAGAATTAAAATTCCTTCTACAGTTTTTGGTTCCAATAAGATAATTAATTACTACTTTTGGTGTAAAAGGAAGTAGCAAGGAAGGTTTTACAGGAGCTAACCAACCAAGCTAGCTCATTTGGGAAGCAGTGTTGCAGCATTAACACTCCTTGTTTGTTCACTAATATACTTTGCTGACTAGTTAAGCCACCTTTGTATTTTTTGGACCACTGTGTATTGTGCAATGTAGATTTTTATCTCATGGTAAACTATCGTATCACTAGCATTTGTTTCTGCTTTCCCTTTTGTAGGTTAATCTCCATGGTCAGATTATGGTACCACTTCATGCCATTGCATCTTTTTTAATTTAAGTGGAATAGACCTAATATAGCTGACAAGAATTTGGCAGTCTCTTTCAGTTAACAAGTTTTTATGGTCACTTGATTCCCTTGTTATTTTAGCTAACAGGGCTCACTTCTCCCTTTCAAAACCACTAAGTGTTGTTGTTTTAAAACACAATGAAGTTGATGTAACAGGTGTTTGGTTCCTTTATTGAAATTTCTCATACTGGGTATCAAATCAAATTATTTGTACTATTGTCTTTTTGTAGTCTCACTGCTGTATGTTGTTGTACTCTTGACTGGAAGGGAGAAGATACCATGCAATTTACAACTGAATCAATTTTGTACTGTTTGCAACTGCAGAAAAAAGCCAGTTTAGGTTGATTTTTGGACATTCCCATTTTTTAATTTTTTTTTTTTTTTTAAGGACTTTATTCTGGAACATTATAGTGAAGACAGTTCTGAGTATGAAGATGAAATAGCAGATCTCATGGATCTGAGACAAGTAAGTTCAAGTGTGGCATATTATGAAGTCTTTTAATCTACAGTTGGAAATAATAGCCTTTATATGGAATCAGAATATGCCATTATTACTTTTAACTCACCGTATTCATATTGACTTAGTTTCTGAGATATGGAACATGAAACTGTGTTGTCCAAAAGCTTTACAATCTGAGTAGAGAACAAGTGAAGAAAAGAGTGAAGTTATGCAAAGTGATTGAGCTGTTGGCACAACTTTGTAAATCTAAGATTTCTTACCTACTTTTTTACTTTAAAGTACTTTAAATTTAGCAGGAAGAATGTTGATGGGAATTAATTCGGCAAAATACTGTAGTAGAATGAAGTTGTTTCCTGTATTATACTAGAAACTTAAACTTTTTTGTAGCTTTCGTAATGCCTATGATTTTCTTTAATTAACTCTGAGACTTGCCTAGCAGATCTTGGCTTCCTTAAAAGTTACGTACAACTTTTGTGCAGCTGAAAAACTCTCATTTGGAATGTATCCGTATGGCCTTAAGCATATTGTCCTCAGATTCCAAACATTTTTATGATATGCGGAAGTCCACAGAGTCTTATGCTTGGTGTTTCTGTATTCATCCTGTAACACAACAGAATACACTTCATTTTACTCTATTGCAATTCAAGGCCTGCCGCACTCCTAGCCGAGATGAAGCTGGCATTGAGATGCTGATAAGCTATTTCCTTCAACTTGGTTATGTAGAAAACAGATTTTTCCCACCCACCAGGCACATGGGAGTTTTATTTACATGGTAAGTGTAGCTCATGTTTGTCTTGTCTCTTCTTTTTCAAAACACAGTTAATCAGTACCTGTCTTCTGTTTAATTTGTATCAAGTCAATGTTTTTCTCCCACTACTCCCTGCAGTACGTGTTGTCAATTTTTTCTTTTAGTGTTAAGAGTAAACCTGAATACAGTACACCCTTATCACACTTAGAGTGAAGCCATTGGCTATGGCAAATGACTTGGGCTATAGGTTAGCACAAGGGAAAAAGAGAGAAAATAGTCTTCATTTTGATCAATGGCAGATGTTTCCTGAACTCTAAACCTTGGTGCACGATGCAGATGGGGAATGGGTCAGACTTTAATTCTCTTCGCAGAAATGAGGAGGAGTGGCTTATTTTGTTATAGCAGAGTGTTTGCTACATATGTGAGCAAAGTTTGACTCTGAATTCAGCATTTTTATGATGGAAAAGCATTTTTATGATGCAGCCAAGAGGAACCATTATATTTCTGGTCAGAACTGCAAACAAATTTTAAAACTATAGAGAATCTGCCCATGCCAATAGTTGATCTTTGTCAACACCTAAGTATGAGAACATAGCAGCACATATGGCTGCTTCCCCAGTATACTATCAGCCTCTGCGATGTCTTATAGGCACTTTTAAATTAGATATAATATGCTTATGGAGGCACTGCTGTAAAACCTGCTGAAAACTAAGCCTCCACTAAAGCTGGTCTCTGACTTGCAGCATCTAGATGGTCCTACACTACAGTATTTCTGTTCACCTTCATTTTCACTCTAGCTAAAAATAATTATTAAGAATTCCACTGCTCTTTTGGAAAAACTTCATGAAAATATCTTTTGTTTTGATGGACTCTGCTAATCTTAACACTTGTAATATTTGTTTCCCAAGGTACGATTCCTTCACAGGTGTCCCAGTATGTCAGCCAAATCTGTTACTTGAAAAAGCTAGTATTTTATTCAACATTGGAGCCCTCTACACCCAGATTGGAACAAGATGCAATCGTCAAACCCAGGCTGGACTTGAAAACGCTGTTGATGCTTTTCAGAGAGCTGCAGGTACAAATTTTAAAATATTGGGAAGGTCTTTACGCTAAAGTTCCTCATCTGATCCTGATACCCTGCAGATTTCTGCATTTCCCACTGACTTCAGTACACAAAAAAAGAACAGGGGAATTCAAGAAGCCCCATGAAGACCTGAGGAGATGAAGCATTAAATAAAAGCCTGGAACTGTAGTCTGAACATGTAGATAAAGAATACTGTGGTTAATGATTAATGAACTGCAGTTCAGAGGTCCAAGTTATAACCCCAACGTTAACTGCTTCATTGTTCATTTTTTGTTCCACCAACGTAGCTGCTTTTGCCTCAGTGATAATTACGTAGGTGTAAAATCTGTACAAGAAACAATGTAAAGGGCTGATAAAGGGTTTTAAACCTAGTTTTCCATATGGTCTCTTCAAAATTAATCTTACTGTGTTCTCTAGTGAAATTTGCAGTTCATTGGAAGCTGACTGTGCATTTTCCAAAGGTTCCAAAGGCAAACAGGTTCAAAATAATCCATCTGTCCCAAGCAAGGAAAAATACATATTCTAATAAAGGGAATCAGATCTCTTGAACTAACATACTATAGAAGCTTTTGTTTTGTTGTTTTTCCAAGTAGATTTTAACTTTTTTTTGTAAACATCATCTGTGCTACACATAATGCTTGAAGACATGACCTATGTAATTAACATGTACTGTAAGATTTACTTCTACACTAACAGTCTGTGGCTACTGGTTTGCACTGTATGGGTAGCTTTGTCAGCCATGAACTGTGGACCAGAGAGTTGGAGTCTCCAAAACCCCCTCTTATGAATACACAGCTGTCAGAAAAAATGATAGTACATCTTCATGCATTTATTAATCAGTTTTTCAACCTTTGTATTTCATCTAAAAGAAATTTCAATACTTCAGAAATGTCTCCATTTTGCTGCTGCTCCTTCCATTTTGCAAATAATTAAAAAAAAAAAATCGCAGCTTTTCACTTGAACATATTTGCAGAACAGAATTAATTCACCAACTGAAACGCATTGTTTGCTGCCACAGTACCTTTGCAGGGCCCCAAAGCTATGTGCTCAGAAGGCATTTCATTGTACCTGTGCATGGCTCTGTAACACTCTTCATTATGTTGGTAGAGACATCATACAGAGCATGTATTAACTGTTTCTCTGTGGTGAATGGAAAATGTTGCACAGTTAATCCTCAGCAAAGCTCTTGGTGTTTATATGTTTATTGCATGAGCAGAAATATGCTAACAACAACAAAAAATATTTCCCCCTTTGTGTTTTCAGCCCCTCAGCAGGGCTCTCCTTCAGTATGTGGGATGTGCTTGGCAAGTCTGTAGTTGGGGATTTTGGTGCAAAAAGGTGGACATTGCTGTAATGTAAATTTGTATAAGGGCATATTCGTAAGGTAAAAGACACAAGTGTAACAGAAAACGAAAATTCTCAGAAAGTGGCAGTAGGAAAATAAAGCACAACGTGACCAGAACTGAATGTAGTGGCAAGAAGTCCCAGCTTCTGTAGTCTTGCACTTGAAAAGCAGAGCTCTTATTGTTACACTTTTGTAGTATTATCAGCAATTAGCAGACTAGTAGAACTCCCTAAACCAGTTGGATGACATGCATACTGAAGGTCACACTTCCATCCATGAAACTGCTACTTAATATTTGCACTACAGTTAGTGTTTGCTTTTAATCTGAGAAATTCTAGAAATTATTCATATGTTGGTGGAGCCAAATGTCTAGAGCAGAATCTAATTTCACCCTATTAAGTATACTGTTCTAGTTTACTTACAGGGATGGAACTGAGCTTTCACCAGGAGACAAAATGCAATTAGCAGCATCTGAAAAAGATATTCATAATTAATGAAGTTTATATGTTTGTGTGTTTTCCTTCCATCCAAAGGTTCTCCTGTCACCTCCTTGTAACCGTGTTAGATTTCGTTTTTGCTCTAGTCCTATAGGACAAGATATAAGCTCTAGCCTACCAGTCACACATACAAGTCCTATTCAGTTCAGCCCAGCTTTTGTTTCAGTTCAGAAGAACTGATAGAAGCAAATCTGAAGATATTGCCTTTAAAACTTGCAGCTTCTGTTGCTCCTCTGAATTGTAGTTTTGAGAACTGTGCCTGGAGAGGTTTGGGAATGTAAAGCAAAATCTGTAGGTCACTCTAATTTCATGTGTACCAAGAATCCCTTCAGATTGCTGTAGCGCAATACTAGAAAGTATGCTTTCAATCTTAATTATTACAGAACATGCTAGAATCAAGTTCATTTGTTTCTCTCTTTGTAGTGCTGACAAACCAATTTTGTAATTTCAGGAGTCCTAAGCTACTTGAAGGAGACCTTTACTCACACCCCAAGTTATGATATGAGCCCAGCTATGCTGAATGTACTAGTAAAAATGATGCTTGCACAAGCTCAAGAGTGTGTGTTTGAGCAGATTGGTCTTCCTGGAATACGCAACGAGTTTTTCACCCTGGTGAAAATGACACAGGAAGTTGCCAAGGTAAAGACTAAAACTTGAGTCTCATGTTTTAAAATAAGCCTTTACAGTGCTTTGTTAATAGCTACAGCCTCTGGTAATATTAACAGAATTTATTAAATCTAAAGGTTAACAACCATTACCAAAACCCAAATGTAACAATAGACAAGCTACAATAAAAATCACAACCTTTCAGAAGATTAAAAAGCAGATAGCTTCAATTTGAATATAATTAATTTAGAACTGGTAGGATTTTTAAAATCTGTAATTCACGAAGTTTAACAGAAACATGCTGAAATACTTGGGCAGTGAACTTGCTGAAGGTTTTTTACAAGCTATTTATCATATTGCTCTTTCAAACAGTACAGATCTTGTCCACAGAACAACATACAAAGGGACAGCGTTGTTTGTGTAGTTTTCTGTTAAGTATTGAACACAAACTGTTGTCTTTCCCAGCAGCTGGAGGTTACGCAAACCTAAAAAGCCCAAGTCCAAAAGAGTAATGAATTTGTAACTGGGGGAAAGACCCTGATGAGCTGAGTCAGGTTGCTAGCTGCAGGACTTCTCTGAAAAGTGGGGAGGCAGGCTGTACACAGTATGTGTTGACATCAGGTTGTTGACATCAGAAATTGGGTATGCCAACAAGATATGAATATGCTTTCTGAGCCACTTCAGGGAAGGAGATGTATAATTGGTTCCATACTAGATAAATGGACAAAGCCTTCCCTATCAGCCCTGTAAAGCCACCCTCACTTATCTGTAGGGCTGATTAGCCGCAGGGGAAAGATTTCTTGATTCTGTCAGTTGGAATTGTTTAATCCATTAAAGCAGCATTCACTGCTTGAAAAGCTGTTTTCTTTCCTCTGCATAAAGGACAACAGCTCAGTTTTAACTAAACCACACAAACTTAAGGCTAGATAGGACTCCACAGTTTCAGAAGTGAAGTACAAACCTACTGTGTAAGTAACATGCTTCACCCTTTTTCTCAGCTGAATTAAGCCAGTGAGATAAATTTGTAAATTAAACCCCATTTATTTTACCATGTTTTCACTGAACTCTGAAGTTATATAGATTGACTGACTTAGTCCATCTGTTCTTGTACAAAATTGATTTACTTTTCTTGTAAGGGAAAAATGAGAATGGAATTTCAAATTTTCTTGACTTATTTCTGATACTTTCTAACAATCTTCTTTTTGTTTGTTTTCCATATCTTTGGTGTGATGCATATGAAATTATCATGAGCTTGCAGATAATATCCATTACTTGAGCTTCTAATAACTACTGTTAAATTCTCATACTTCAATGCTGTGCTTTATTTTAGGTGGGAGAGGTTTACATGCTGGTTAACACTGCAATGAATCAGGAACCAGTGAAAGAGAATATCCCCTATTCCTGGTCTAAACTGGCACAAATAAAGTCGGACCATTACAAAGCTCTGGCGCATTACTTCATTGCCACCATTCTGTGTGACCATGAATGTAAGAATCATACATTTTCTACATATTAATATAAATAACAGTAATAAACACATAAACAGTTATAATCTGGTCTACGAGTAAGACTAGGAGCCAGGAACTTTTGGGTTTCAATATATGTTAATTTGTAGCCATTTTCCCATTCAGATACGAGGCCTTGCTTTTTTTGTCCTGTACGAAAGAATGTGAAAGTTACATAAATTAACTTTTCAAAATAAATTATATGCATTATATGCTACCAAATTATTCAAATTTTATCAATGTACTCTGCATATCAGGACTATCTGCATATTGCAGATGATAAAAATGATAAAAGTCCTAAAACTTGGAAATTCCTATCAATAGATATGTATAACAATATCTGACTGTATTTGGAGAGAAGGTAGTAGTAACTACAAGACAATACACCTAAAGGAACAGAGCACCAAGTGATATGTAACAGTTGATGTTCTGTATCAATTGTTATAGTGCAGCCTGGTGATGACGAAGATCAGCAGGAGAAAGCCTTGTCCCAGATGTATGACTATGTGCCTGAAGGACTGATGGTTCTCACCGTTTTAAAGGACAAAGTTCAGAGAAAACAACTGGGTAACTGCCAGTTTCACAGAGCTACTGGATACAGTTTGAAAATTACCTTTTACTTATTGTCTATGGATGGCAAACAACAGTTTCTGATGGGTTTTTTTTGTTGTTTTGTTTTTTTTTTCTTCAGGGAAAGCACACTTGCGTAAAGCCATCATCTACCACGAAGAAGCTCTGAGAGTCTGTGGTCTGTGCAAAAAGCTTCGGAACATTGATGTTCTTCAGGAGGTTCTGACAGCTGCACACAAGCGCTCACTTCTCAAATATGCTCAGCAAGAGACAGAAGATGACTTTCTCAGTCTAATCCAGGCTCCAGATATCCTCCGTAAGTGTACACAGCTAGAACTAAACATTATCTAACCATACATATATATGTTTTCATGGGGACATACCTTTATTTTATATGTATGTATATGCATATTGTGAACTAGAAAAAAATGGGGAAACTACAATCTAAAATCATACCAGGGGAAAACTGCTGTTTCTTGTAGCACAACTCTTATATTGGCCTAAGTTGTTAACTCATTCTACTACTATTGCTAATTTTTATCTAGCTTGGAATGAAAGAAAAATAAATGCATATCTTTTAACTAATAATTTAGAGAAAATTAATTTGGTTTTCTTTTTGTTTTAGCTAAAACAGAGCATAAAATAGAAACAATCGCTCCTCAGTTATCAAAGGTCAAAGTTAAAGACTTCTTTCACAAGCTGGTACGTAACATGTTAATGCTGACCGACCTCTGTCATTTTGTTAGCAAGTACAAATTCACCCCAACATGAGGGGAGGGACACAAGTATTTCAGCCTGAAAAAATGATCCTGTAGTAAGTGTTTTTCTTCAGAAATTACTGGAGGTCACACCTAGCTCCAGAGGTATAAGTCAGCTCAAGACTAGCAAAGTGCTGTTTGTATGTTTGGTTTTTTGTATGTATGTTTTGTTATGTTTGTATGTTTGAACAGTATGCATTCTTGATAACTTTCATAAAGGTCTCATGAAATTTCAGTGGGTAACTGCATACAACTTAAAGGCAGGGAGAAACATATAGTACTTGGAGATGGGCATGCTGAGCATGTAATGTTGCATGCTATGAAGCCAGTCTTCCAGGTGGCTCTGTGTGTATCAGTGGGCACAGGAAATATGGAGTTGTAGTTAGGATCAGAATATGCAATGTTTCATCAATCGGTTATCTCCTCCAAAATGGAGTAATATAGGCCCTTAAAGGCTACTGCAGCAAAAGATTCTGCACAGCTTATCAGCCATCTCATAACAACCTGGCAATTGCTTTCATCCAACTCTGAATTATCACCTAAATTGTTATGAAGTAGGGCTGAGCACTTCAGGGACTTCTTAAACTTCGGGGATAAATCCCGCTGTTCCATTTCAACTAAAGTGCTTGAAAGTTAACCTGAGTAAAATCTACAGAAGATGAGTTTAAAGCATTATAATTTAAAAAAATAAAACAGAAACACTTACTTATGAATGACAGTAAACTATAACATGCCTGCTGCTATGTTACCTCCAGGGCCCACTGACAGTGTTCTCAGCCAAGCAGAGATGGACAGCTCCACGTACTATTCGCATCCACCATGAAGCAGGAGAGCTAGGATTCAGTCTTAAAGGAGGGTCACCAGTACAGATTTATTGTCTTGATCCAGTTTGTTCTGCAGCGGTAAGTGCATCGGTGAAATATTAACGGTGTCTCCAGGCTCTAGCATCATGATCTTTTAAATGTAACTATAGCTTGTTCATATTGGTGTATGGAGTATTTATTGAGTTCTACTGTACATCAGTACAGTCATTTTATATAATCTGAGCAGATTTTCAGTGCTATGTACACCTCAGGGTATCTGTATCACTGGCATCACCTTAAACTAGAGTCAATTAATTCCTCTGTTCACACCTAATAGATAAAAAGTTACAAATAATAAAGGCAAATGTTATTCCTCATCTAATTCAGGAAGTTAAAAGGGCTTTAGAAAGTAGCAACAACAATAAGGATGAGAATCAGGAAGGGAAGGTAAGGTAGCATGTGCCCAAGGAAAAAGAGAGGAAAGAACATATTACTGGATTCTAGTATGTCGCTCTCTGGGGGAGAAACAAAGGGCTAATGAGCAGAGTTCAGCTATAGGAAAGGCAGCAGCAACCACAGAAGTACAAACAAAAGTACTGAAGAAAGAGAAGTAAAAACTGGAGAAAGTGTCTCATGGGGGATGATAGGGTAGCTAAAAACACGTTTCCTTTATTTAAGGAGATAAGTGAAAAGGATATAAAAAGAGCCAACATTTGAGTATGCCAGAATCACATTTATCAATGGTAACTCAAATAGATTATCTGTGTACTTGAAAAAGTTCTGTGTTTTTATGTTATATATATATACACTTCTTGTCCATCCCACATACCTGGCTAGACAATGGTTTTATAACATCTAAGAGGAAAACGCCTTTAGGGCATATACTGTTTGATGACAAAAATATTGTACCCATCTTTGTAATTCCAGATAATAACTTGTGCAAAAAATTTTTTGACAGTCAATGGGCCTAAAAGAAGGTGACTACATTGTTTCAGTTGGTGGCGTGGATTGCAAGTGGCTTGGAGTGAATGAGGTGCTGGAAAAATTCACAAGTGTGGGAGAGCAGCCCATTGAGATTGAGGTTATCAGTTGCCAGGATACAACGGCATCTATGGTATGTAACGAGGCAAATGTGTTTTGCAGATTGGATGTGTGAGAGTGTTTTTCACTTTCCTGGCTTCAGTCCCTGTTTAATGTTTACTTTCATGTAGTCAGATATCCCACTCCATCAGTGAACGTATAAAGTATTCAGGCATGTGTTAAGTTTTAAAGTGTGTTTAAATCATCCTGACTTTGCAACCTAAAGGAGAGATGTGTGCACAAGAATGGTTGGGTGGTGGGTTTTTATGCAGTGGAGCTACTTAGATTAATTGCATTATAAATTCCAGGGCATAGTTTATTTTCCTCTAACTTGATGTAGAGGTTGAAAATATTACCATGTTCAGCACTGGAAAAGCCACAATGGAAGAATAATGGAATGAAATAGAATGTTCAAGACTACATGCTTATCTTCTATGCGCTCTTAACAAAAATGATCATGACTTCTGTGTTACATCATGGATTAGTATATGTATCTTTTATTTTGGTGGGCTTTAACTGTCTAGTCATTTACTAAGCTGCTGTATGACCACAAGATTAAAAAATGTTAAGCTGTAAGTAACTTACAGTGTGAGAGAACCCATAGTTCAGCTAAATCCACTGCTTCTAACATTCCTTGGCAAGGTTAGGCACTGAAGTAGCATTGCCTTAGAAGCGATCCCTGTGCTCTTACTGCTGTTAGATTTCCTTGGTTTGAGAAGTTGATTTTTCTTACTGAAAATAAGTAACTGCACCCCTGCACTTCTAAGTTGCTGCTGGAAACAAAAGGCTACAATATAATCAACTTGCTTCAGGGCAAAGCTCAGGTAAGACAGGATGCTGTGCCTTTCAGGTATCCCAAAAGGATGTCCTACATGCTCCTGTTGTTATAGTTGCAACCAACATGGAACCTCTCCAAAAGCAGCAAGAAAGATCCCCCTTCAGATATTTGTACAAGAACTACATACCTAAGAGAGGTTTTATATTATACAGTTATACAAGAAGCCAGCAAATTTTAACTGTAACTCAACCCATGGAAAAAATTTACAAGTCCTTTACACTGTGTTTAGTATACCCTTCAGTCTATATGGGCAAAGTACCAGAATTGCAGCACTCTGAAGGGCCTTGTGTTCCCTTAGTACGTCATTAGCACAGAAAGCTTACTGTGCTCTGCCTTGGAAAACTATTTGCACAGTAAGCTTTTGTTATCTTCAAAGTTTTGACCCGTTTTGGGTGACTGATTCTTATAATGCATCTCTCTTTCCTACAGCATAGTAAGAGTGCAACTTACTCTGTGGGAATGCAGAAGACATACTCCTTAATCTGTTTAGCCATGGAAGAGGATAAGATTGATCAGACGAAGAAAGCCCCACTGAAACTGCCTTTTCTAAGTTGGGGAACTAAAAATAGACAGAAAGCTGCAAGCACCCTCTGCCTGCCTTCAGCTGTGGCTGGAAGCTCTCAGGTTAAGAAGAAGCTTTCTCCCTTCACACTTCTGAATACAGAAAGTTCATTGTACTGAATATTTCAGAAGGATTTGAAACATGATGTGTTAACATGATGTGTTTCTTTTGAATGTATATAAAAAATATTGATCATTTTTATCTCTATATATACATGTGTATGAAGTCAGACAAATGCCACTGACTCTATTTACTGTGCATTGAGCCACTATGAAGGTCAGGGACTGGCAAAAACTGTAAAACTTACATATTGAAGGCTAGCATGAAGTGAAACTCGGCATGAGCAGGCAGTGTGCGCTTGCAGCCCAGAAAGCCAACCGTATCCTGGGCTGTATCAAAAGAAGCGTGACCAGCAGGTCAAAGGAGGTGATCCTGCCCCTCTGCTCTGCTCTCGTGAGGCCTCACTTGGAGTATTGTGTCCAGTTCTGGTGTCCTCAACATAAAAAGGACATGGAGCTGTTGGAGCAAGTCCAGAGGAGGCCACGAGGATGATAAGAGGACTGGAGCACCTCCCATATGAAGACAGGCTGAGAAAGTTGGGACTGTTCAGCCTGGAAAAGAGAAGGCTGCGTGGAGACCTCATAGCAGCCTTCCAGTATCTGAAGGGGGCCTACAAGGATGCTGGGGAGGGACTCTTTGTTAGGGAGTGTAGTGGTAGGACAAGGGGTAATGGCTTTAAACTTAAACAGGGGAACTTTAGGTTAGGTCTAAGGAAGAAGTTCTTCACAGTGAGGGTGGTGAGGCACTGGAATGGGTTGCCCAAGGAAGTTGTGAATGCTCCATCCCTGGAGGAGTTTAAGGCCAGGCTGGACAGAGCCTTGGGCGACATAGTTTAGTGTGAGGTGTCGCTGCTCATGGCAGGGGGGTTGGAACTAGATGATCTTAAGGTCCTTTCCAACCCTAACTATTCTATGATTCTATGATTCAGGAGGAATGCAGTAACAAGATGTAGATGATGAAATTGCTTACGTGAGGACTGGATTCCTTTGGAATTTCAAAATACAGTATCATGACTGATTTTTATTTTTTTAAATTTTATAACTGATATTTATTACAAACTGATGCTGCATGCAAAACAAACATTAAAGGATGATTTTTCTGTTAAAGTTTAGAGTTAATAATAAATCACTTAACACTACTTTTAAGAATTATCTTAACAAACCACAGGCAAGAGACAGTAATGTTGTTCAGAGAAACTAGCCTTGTGCCAAGAGGCAGTGTCATGTAGTTGTGGGTTTTACAGAGACATTTGCTTTCTGAGAGTACTAGGTGTATTCTATTGAATAGTTAATTAAATTCTGGAAGAGAATTAGAAGGCGTAGAAGTCAAAAGATCTTCTGAACTACAAAAGACTTCTACTGTGCTCTTCTTCTGATCCAGGTTACATTTTAAATGCCTGATGATTCAATTGTCAAAACCAGATTTTATTCCAAACTTGAAATTATTTAACTAACTTACCATAAGGGTTGGATCTCATGAGTCTTGATAAAATTGATAGCTGTGGAACAAATCTTAAAGCTGACATATTCCAGTATGTTGATCAAGAGTACATAAACTGTGGAGATAAAAAAAGTGCTTGAGTCTGAGTGGCAGAATATTTATTTACTATCGCACCAAGTTTAAAAAACTAAACAGATATGAGCAAGTATGGGCTATATATATCGAGGGAGACAAAAAATAACTGTGTGAGCATTTCTTTGAGATTCTTCTATTTTCTGAAATTGATAATAATTGAAGATTGCTAACACTGTAGTGTTAGTTAACATTGCCATCTACAGAGTAGATATATGCTGTTTGATACTCAAAACTTAAAATAAGGGTCAAGTTTGTATCTGAGTGTAAACATGAAAGCTGTCATTTATTTTTAGTTTCTTATGTAATAGGTGTAAATATGTTGATGAGACTTATTTAAGAATAATAAAGATCAGATTATGCTATTTCATAGTAGCTCTTTGATTCTGCTACAGCTTCCGTAATACCACATAATTTGTAGGTTTTCACTCTTTACTGCTGGTGTACCTCTTGCATGATTCTATAATCTTGCTTAGAAAGACGTAAGAAACTGTCTGTCTGAAGTTCGTATTTTATAATACAGGAACTTAATTAGCCTGAAATTTGCTTCCTTAGGGAGTGTTAACATATTTCTAGAGTTTCCCTATAAAATGTAAATAAAAAATGTTGTAAATTACTTGACTCACCTGTCCTTAGCAGTTAATTCTTCATGTGTACTTGTAGTAGCACTTCTACACACACAAGCAGCAGCAATCATATACTGATATGCAAGACCCTGCCATACAATATTGCATACAAAAGAGATTTACTTTGTTATGTATGGCTAAAATTACTATCAAGCTAACAAAATCTCTTGCAAAGTCACATGACTTCCAGCTCTTCATTTTTCTTAGGCCACTGTGATAGTCTTGCTGCTGCTGTCTTCCCGACTA